AAAAAATATTAGCCACCGCTTATCTAAATAGCTGCCTCGATTTTCTTATCTCAATTTCTCTCGTGACTGACCTTTTTTATTATAAACATGGTACTTTTTCACTTCAACTATTCGTAATAAATCTTAAGCCGTCTACACACCACCTGCCTCGATTAGCCTTGCTATTTGCAGGTGGTGTGATATTAGTATATTTAATGTAAGAAATAAAGATGTTGTTGTTGTTGTTGTTCACTTACAATAGGAACTTTCAGGACTATTGAAACACATATGGCTGCAGATGTTTTAACATTCTCATTGCGATGTGGAGGCCGAAGCAGTGGGGATGAAGAGGCCGAAGCACTGGTCGGCAAAGTGGCTGACACAATAGCAGAGGTAGAGGCAGAGGCACTTGGTGACACACTGGGCGATGTGGAGGCCGAAGCAGTGGTCGACACACTGGCTGACATGCTAGCAGAGGTAGAGGCCAAAACACTTGGCGACACACTGGGCGATGTGGAGGCCGAAGCGCTGGTGGAGAAACTGACTGACACGCAAGCAGAAGTGGAGGTCGAGACACTTGGCGACACAATGGAGATGGGGAAGCCGAAGTACTTGTTGAGACACTGGCTGACACGCTAGCAGAGTTGGAGGCCGAGACACTTGGCGACACACTGGGTGACGTGGAGGCCGAAGCACTGGTCAACACACTGGCTGACATGCTAGCAGAGGTAGAGGCCAAAACACTTGGCGACACACTGGGCGATGTGGAGGCCGAAGCGCTGGTGGAGAAACTGGCTGACACGCTAGCAGAAGTGGAGGCCAAGACACTTGGTGACACACTGGGCGATGTGGAGGCTGAAGCAGTGGTCGACACACTAACTGACATGCTAGCAGAGGTGGAGACCGAGACACTTGGCGACACATTGGGCGATGTGGAAGCCGAGGTACTTGTTGACACACTGGCTGACAGGCTAGCAGAGGTGGAGGCCGAGACACTTGGCGACACAATGAGCGATGTGGAAGCCGAGGTACTTGTTGACACACTGGCTGACAGGCTAGCAGAGGTGGAGGCCGAGACACTTGGCGACACACTGGTCGATGTGGAGGCCGAAGTACTTGTTGACACACTGGCTGACACGCTAGCAGAGGTGAACGCGACACTTGGCGACACATTGGGCGATGTGGAGGCCGAAGCACTGGTGGAGAAACTGGCTGACACGCTAGCAGGGGTGGAGGCCGAGACACTTGACGACACACTGGGCGATGTGGAAACCGAAGCACTGGTCGACACACTAGCTGTGACGCTAGCAGAGTTGGAGGCCGAGACACTTGGCGAAACACTGGAGATGTGGAGGCCGAACCACTGGTCGACACACTGGCTGACACACTAGCAGAGGTGGAGGCCGAGACACTTGGCGACACACTGGGTGATGTGGAAGCTGAAGCACTGGTTGACACACTGGCTGAGACGCTAGGAGAGGTTACGGCCGAAACACTTGGGGACACATTAGGCGATGTGGAGGCCGAAGCACTGTTCGAAACACTAGCTGACACGGTAGCAGATGTGGAGGACGAGACTAGCAACAACAGTAATAATAAATAAACTATGAACTGGGTTAAAAAACTACGAAATGGTTATGTGCTTACAAAATAAAACTATATTATTCAAAGCTATACCTTAGCTTATGCCAAATTTTATCGAACGTTTTGGTATTATTCTTAACTCTGGCAAAACACCAATGAATGACTGTAATAAGTTGTTTTAGGTCTAATGAAGCAAAGTACGAAACTACGGGGGAAAATTAGATGCTACTTACCCAAGCACATTGTCCTGTTATTCGACTCCTGGAAACCTTTTGAACATTTACAAGTCTTGTTGTCTTGTAACATTTAGAATCCATTTGGACAATTACAATAGTATCTACCTGCACTATTGATACACAGATGGCTGCAGTTGTTTTTAACATTCTCATTGCATTCATCGATATCTGGGAGAAATCAAATTGAAATATGACTTGTCATACTGACGATCAATATTTCAGATGTTACTTCACAGGAGTATACAAGGATTATTCTACGTCTTACAATTTTCGACGACTCCAAAAACACACGACTACTCTTCAATGGTTGAAACTGAAACGCACTCTCTTGTCGAAACAACAAAAGAAGAAAGTCAACGCCGACAGCAGCAGGGCTTATCGCGGGCGCTGTGTTTTACGGAGAAAATTTCACCATCAATATCAGCTCGTCCTTGTCTTCAATAGCACAAAAACAACAAACTTATAAACGAATAAAACGCATATTTGACTCTTCAGACGACGACGAGAGTCCTCCTTTGACATAGAAAGGGTCAGCTTTGTTGAAAAGCTAAGAGCTTAATTTTGTCGAGACTTTCCATGAAGAAATCTATACTATAGGTCTTTCACATTAACTGTTATACTTCTACAAATGCTTCTTCTACTCAGTACTGTCACTGCAACTTTTTATACTGGTGCCGCTTCCAATATCACCTCAAACATAATCTGAGATCAGACACTATTTTCGTTTCGCTTTAACCGGAGTGCCTGATACAAACTTTACTTTACGAGAAATGTCTTCCCCCCTCGCCCGCCAAAAATAAAATTCTCGTTTCGCTTGGCAACAACAGTTTAACAGCCAATCGAATGGTCGCAGGAGCACGGCCCCTGTTAAGGGAGTCATTGTCGTGTTAAATTTTAGCGTGAAAGCGTAAGAGAGAATGTATGGGAGTTGCTGAAAACTAGCACTACCATTACGTCTACCACTACCGCTACCACCCCCCTATCAATACCACTACCACCATCCTCACCAATACTATTACTCTTAAAACTACCAATACAACTTCCACTACCACCACCACAAACACTGCCACCACCACTAACAATACCCTTGCCACTACCTAAACCAGTACCCTTAATAAAACTACCAATCACACTACCACCACCACCACTACCACAAAACCCACCACTAACACTACCACCACTACCGCTATCACTATCACTGCCACTACCACAACGACTACCAATACCACTGCTATCAGCATTAACAATACCCTCACCACTACCACTATCCTTTATAAACTACCAATAACACTACCAACTCCACCACTAACATAAACCCCACCACTAACACTACCACCATTACCACTGTCACTATCATTACCACTACCACTACACCAAAACATCCACTAACACTACCACTACTACCACTATCACTTTCATTACCACCACCACAAAAACCACCGCCACTACCACAGCCATCTCCATTAACAATACCGTCACCACTACCACTATCCTTTATAAAAACTGCCAATAACACTTCCACCTCCATTACCACAAACCCCACCACTAACACTGCCACCATTACCACTATCACTATCATTACCACTACCACTACCACAACCACAAAAACCACCACTAACACCACCACCACTACCACTACCACTTCCTCTACCATTACCACTATAATTACTACCAGCACTACCACAAAACCCACCACTCACACCAACACCACTATTATTACCACTTCCACTACCATTTCCACTACCATTACCAATACTACTGTCACTACCAATGCCGCTATTACTACCACGCTTCTGGTGCTCCTAGTACCAACTCCTCTAAAAGAAACTTGAGGAAACTATCACGACAACGATACAAAAAGAAATCAGAAAAAGAAACCGGTTTGAGAATCAAAACTAACAACTCTGCTTATCTACCGCGCTTTTTGTTTAAGTTTCTTTGCCTTTGACTGCACAACTAAGACATGAAAAAAAAAAAAAACGTTTTAACTGAGAACGTGAACGGCAAGGCGAGAAACTGTGTTGCATCAACCTAAGCTCGAACGAGTTGATAACTGCTTTTCACCTCGCAAAGATTCTAGAGGACGAGAATTCAGGTTTTGAACGATCTGTTTTGCAACATCTTTGTTGTCAGGTCGTAAAATACCTACTGTTACGATAAGGACAACGAAGACGGTAAGATCAATTCAACTAAAAGACATCATTACCTGCCAGTCTCTTTTTGTCGTTACTTACTCAAGCACACTGTCCTGTTCTTGGACTCCTGGGAACCTTTTGGACATTTACAAGTCTTGTTATCTTGGGACATTTGGAATCCATTTGGACACTTACAATAGTAACTACCTGGACTATTGACACATCTATGGCTGCAATTGCCTTTAAATTCCTGATTGCATTCATCGATATCTGTGAGAGACCACATTGAAACATGGCTTTTTGCTGTCAATATTTCAGATGCTACCTCAAAGAATTATACCGAGATTATTCTACGTCCAGCATTTTTCGACGACTGTAAGTAAAAACTATGACAGAAGTCACTTTATTGCCAGTTTATACTTGAACAAAAACTCTTAACCTAAACAACAATAATAAATGAACTATGAACAGGTTAAAAAGAGGAAATGGTTAATATTTCTTCAATCTAAAACTATAGAAAGTAAAAAAATGTCAAATTCACATCGAGACCAGGGTCACAAGTTTACTAGTTTCTGTAACTATTCCGTGCTACCCTCTTTAAAAAAAGTGTATTGTTATTATTATTATTATTATTATTATTATTAATGCACCTTGCTAACCCCCCAAATTTTGCATAACCAATGCCTTCGATTTCTCTTAGGACGACTGAAATACCCAGGAGGGGAAGGGGGGGGGGTTAAACAAGGTGTATTATGGTCGCGGTGAAAATGGTAAACTGCCAACGAAACAACATGGCACAAATTGATGTTTACGTTTTATCTCAAGAAATTTCGAAATTCTTTTATTCTCTAGTTTAAGACTTGCTGGAAGACATCAGGTCGAACAGTCTTTGAGGAGGTTTATAGGATTAAATGACATCATAGTTCCATCGCGCCACAGTTATGGACTAGCGGCATAGTTCATCATGTTGATATGATCTTGTAAATTAAAGTACATATAGTGGGCAGAGATGACCAAGTAATCTAGCCTATCCACCGACGTTTAAAATTTTTTTTCGACAATCCCACAGCGCGCAAGAGCGGACGGGTAGCGCGAAAAAGAGAAAATAGAGGCTCTGTGAACAGGCAACACGTGATCATTTCCCCCGCCATTTTTCACGTTTCCCGTTTATTTTAAGATTAAAAGGTTGGTTTTCACGCTCAGAAAAGACAGGAGTAAAAAAGAAAGGACAAGACATGACATTTGCTATCATAATATTGCCTGTACGATTTCTTTCTCGATGTCGAATGCACTAGGCAAATAATTAGACTACTAGTTTAACGAATTGATAAAGGAAAGTCAAACGCCATCTTAGATTACAGAAAACCGACTGTTTGTGAACACTTCAAAGATGACGTTCACCTTAGGTGGACGGTATGGAGGGTTATGTCTTCGAGGTATACGCAAAGCCTAAAAGCACAAGCCGCTTTGATTACAGACGGAAAACGGCAAATGTGAAGCAAAACCTGGTGCTTTATCTCTCTAATGCCCTTACAAAATAACAAGGAAAGAGAAGGTTGCGTAAGTGTGCCAACCGTATTACCAGGGTAACGCTGATGCATGTTGGCACATCTATGCAATCTGCTGTGTGTTTTAGTATTCGTTACAAACCTTGTATTACATGCTTTACTTGACAAAATCGTGGTCGTTTAACTAAGCGAAGCTGTGATAGAGGAACCAGTCTTAAATCACCATTATCAAACATAACTGACACGAGGAATTCACCCATTTCTGAAGTAGCTGTATTCATCACGGTACCAGTTCGGTACCACTCTTTCATTTTAGGGTCGTGAACAGCTATAACTGATGTATTGACTGATATTGCCCTCTTTTCTGGCTCCTTATCTATTATAATTACTAGATCAGTCCGATTGTATACTTGTTTGAAATCGTTGCTGAATTCCAAGATGAACCCAATATGAGTGTCATTTATCCCTGAGATAAAAGCCCATCAGTAATTATTTGAGCGATCTCTTTGCGACCACAGTCCCCAAAACTTTGAACCAATCAGGATACAATCTAAAGAAAACCAGAACAGACGCAAATTACTTTCTAAATGAAGGAAACATCAAAGCTATAAAGTTGAATGGAGGGCTACTTTAAACTATAGGTTTAGTGACTTACAAATTCCTCGCATAAGATTCAATGAGAGGCCTAATTTACACTGTGGTTTACCTTTACAGCTAGTGAATAAGTTATACATGCATCATAACGTACGTAGTGCCACAATAAGCTATTTTACAGTTATGGAAGTGAGGTTGGAGTTCACCATGTTTTGTACAAACCTTCCTGCTTTATTATGCAAATCACGTTTTCTTATGCTAACTAATATTTTTCAAGAGCAATTTCCATAACAAAGCAAAGGTTTGTATGAAAACAAGGTCATCCTCAGCCTCAAATTCACTCAAAGGCTAGGGTACTAAGTCTACAACTGTAAAATGGCCTATTGATTAATAAAGTCCCAAATATAATTTACTTTGAAAGGAGCGACAACATGACACAAAAAATTATAATCTCAATACAAAGGTCACGAAATTCTCGCTCATATTTTCATTCGTTGTCTGGTATGGTTATACTTTTGTTATAGCTGGGAAGTTACTGATTTGCTGTGATAGTGACATAAATCCAAATATTCTGTGTTAAAAATGCCGGGACAGTGAGTGGTCATGGGCAACATCTATACTATGATCAAGACTAAATACATGCCCCTTCCATAAAGTAGTATATATTCTGGTGTCAATTTAACTTGCATGATTTACTTTAGCATGGCTCTCACTACGACTACAATAAAATTTGGAAATCAGAGCAACCTACAGATTAGTCAGTTTTCAGCTGCTAGCAAAATACCCACTTATCCGTCGGACGCGCGCGCAATGCTCGAATCAGTTTCTCCAAGAGCAATGTCAAGCTTTGTTTTGTGGGAAGAGTCACTTGTCGTTAACTTTTCAAAAAATGTATAACAAAACAATTTAGATTCGGTTTTTGTAATATCCGGAATAATCAAGATCCACTTAAGTTATATCAGCCTCGGCCACACGCACAACCTCCACCTTAATTCCTTGACTATTCCGGATATCAGACGAACCTCATCCACTAATTGTTTATTAAATCATTCCTCCATCAGTACAATGAGATAATGCCATTACCAAGAGTAGGACGACATCCATACACTTCTGCTCTCAAGTAAACCGGCTGCGAGATGTCAACATCCGGGAAAATTTGTAAAGTTTTGGTAACAAACGGTTCTTTAAACTGGTACCTTACTACAGCGAGCGTCTTCTCTCCCCTTTATGATCTTAAAAAAAAGGAAAGAAAAAAAGAACAACGAGAAAAGGTACCTAAAAAGAACAGGTTACTACACGGTCGAAACAAACAACCCTCTCAGAAACAACCACAACAACAAGAACAACAAAACAATTCTTTACTGCGGAAAGAATCTAAAGTTCTATAATAACGTTGAATTGATTGTACAGCTACTAATTTTCTCTTTTGCTCTTAACAAGTGTACTTCACTTACGCAGGTTCTAATCTGCCTTGCTTCATTTCAGTAACAATTAAAGGTTTAAAGAATAAGATGTTACACGTAAAACAATATATATTCTAGGCTAATGGGTGCAATGTTATTCTTTTCCCTTTTTTTTCTTGGCATGGGGATAGGAGATATATATCACCCCCTGTAAATTGATATCTAACAGGAAAATTGCACGATGACGTCATTTTACTACAACTACCAGCATCCTTCATTTTTTGTTTTCTTCGGCAAATTAACACTATTGTTCTTTAATTTTCGGCGGGATTGACAAATTTAAATAAGAAAGCAAAAACGAAATAAATTCTGGTAGATGTAGTCAAAATGAAAATGGCCTATGTTTGCATGAATTTGAAGTTCCTATTAGTTTGGTAAAAGATATCAAATGAACATTGCCTTGTATTGTCCTGCCCTGTATTGCTGGCCAAACCTCCTATAGTAAGTTAAGGATAAAAAGTCTTCATCTCACAGGCAAATAATTTCAGCAGGGGCTTCTCATGCGCATTAATGTTTTGAAAGTCTACAAGTATGATATCATTATATCTAACCTTTTCTATCCCATATTCTCTATAACGAACTGGCTTTGCACTAACGGAAAAGCGAAGTCCATGTCGCTTCACCCAGCTGTTCAAGTTTGCTCCTCCCTGAGTAGCTATAGCCGTAATTTTGAACCTATAGGTTTAACTGAGGTCAATCTGGAAAAACGTCTTTACTGATGTACCCCATGGGAAGCCTCCACGAAGCTGGCTTTGGTCAACGTAACGGAAGTCGGCCGACATTGAGTTCTCCGTATGAAGTAACATTCCACAATCTGAAATTATAACTAAAATTTCATTTTTCTCTCGTCATAACACGTGGATGAGGAATTCTTAGTTAGCGTTGCAGTAGGCTGACGCGTCGTCTAAACATCAAGCGGTTTAGAGCGTCTGCGACGCGGGCTAGAAATTTGTAACCATATATTGTTGTTACTAGATACGGAGGTTATCCCCATCTATTCGGGGGGGGGGGGGGGGGGGGGGGGGTGGGAAACTTTCATTACCCAACGGCGCTTTAACTTTAAAAACAATGGACGTGCCGCCGAAAAAAAAAGAAAAAAATTAAAAACATTGTGCCGTGACGTTTGTTTTTTATTGTGTCATACATCCCCCAATTTTTTAAAAAATGTCGGGGCGGGAAGTATCATTAAAATGTCTCGCCGGTGCGCACGAGGGGTGAGTGGTAGACGGTAAAACATTTGTGTGAGCCAGCTGAGGGTGGTAGGACGTGAGGGGCCGGGGGGGGGGGAGGGGGGGAGGGGGAGCGGTGCCGGGGTGGTGAACATTCATTACCCTACGACGCCTTTAACTTCAAGACCATGCATGTGGCTGCCGTACAAATACGTAAATATATGAAATCATGTGACGTGACATGCATTTTCTAGTGTGTCCATCATTCCACCAATGTTCTAAACAACGGCTGCTTCACTGTTTTTTTACCCGCCAACCCGACGTGAAGTTATTTTTTTTCGGAATATGGTGAGATGCTATTTTTCATTTTCACTAAAATTTTTTTTAGAGACAAACACGCTACAGTTATATCTTTGTTGAAGTCAATGTTACTCGGTAGATGAGAGCTTAGATATCAAGATGGCTATACCTGAAACTGTGTTGCAACTACTAGTTTTCTACTACTCTAACAAGCTATGTTGGTTGAAAAACAGCTGTGGAGGCCGAGCGAGCGAATGCGTATTATAAGTGATAAATTTATTTGTATTAAGGAAGGGCAAACGTTTTGGCATTTATCTTTAATAAAGAGGAAAGAAAATTTACATGGAAAACAGCTATCACAATGCAATTAAGTGGAGGTAGGTGTTTCCGTAGTGGAAAAAAGCACAGCGAACGAGTGCAAACGAGTGTCATGTCCCTTACTTGATTCGAACAACTGATCCGCGAACACCTCGTGTAACTGAACAAATTCCCCAAAGCCTCAAGGCGAATGTGTTTTTTTTTTGTCTGCCCCAAAGCTGTTGGTCTTTGTGAAAAAATAAATTTCATTGAACATATTATAAATAAAGACGAACGAACAGTATTACACTTATGTCTACATTCAGTTCCGTCGAGACCTACCGACCTGTCTGCATCTTAAGTTTCCTTTATATCGCCGAAACTGGAGTTCTCGTTCCAGTCCTTTCCCAGTCAACAGACGGCGTCGTCGTAAGTTTCGTCGTGGCTCTTAACTTCCCTAATGTTACGATAAGGATGACGAAGACGGTGGAATCAGTTCAACTAAACGGCGTCGTCGTAAGTTTCGTCGTGGTTCTTAAGTTCCCTACTATTACGATAAGGACGACGAAGACCGTGGAATCAGTTCAACTAAACGGCGTCGTCGTGAGTTTCGTTGAGGTTCTTAAGTTCCCTAATATTACGATAAGGACGACGAAGACGGTGGAATCAATTCTACTAAAAGGTCGCATAAAAATCGTTGGCTGTTTTCCTCCTTTTTACCTGCCACTGCGTTTGTGTTATTACTTACCCAACCACATTGTCCTGTTATTTGACTCCTGAAACCTTTTGGACATTTACAAGTCTTCTTGTCTTGTGACATTTGGAATCCATTTGGACACTTACATTAGTAACTTCCTGGAATGTTGATACACCTATGGCTGCAGTTGTTTTTAACATTCTTATTGCATTCATCGATATCTGTAAAAGACCAAATTGAAATATGACTTGTCATATTGACGGTCAATATTTCAGATGTTACTTCACAGCAGTATACCAAGATTATTCCACGTCTTGAAATTTTCGACGACTCCGAAAAAATAATTTTTAAAAAAATTATAATAATAATAACAACAACAATAACAACAATAATTAATAAATTATGAACAGGGAAAAAAAAGGGAAATGGTTATTTGCTTACACAATAAAACACCACTTAATTGCTATAATACGTTTTTTAGGTCTAATAAACCAAAGTACAAAACTACAGGGGAAAATTAGATGCTACTTACCCAAGCACATTGTCCTGTTTGCCGACTCCTGGAAACCTTTTGGACATTTGCAAGTCTTGTTGTCTTGAGACATTTGGAATCCATTTGGACACTTACAATAGTAACTTCCTGGACTACTGATACACAAATGGCTGAAGTTGCCTTTAACAACGGTATGGCATTCACTTACATCTGTAAAAAAAGAAAAAGAAAGAAAGTGGTAATAAGTCCTTCACATTAACTGTTCTACTTCTACAGCTGCTTCTACTGCTCAGTACTG